CCTACATAACATATGCATAAGAGTAGGTATGTACTTAGAGTACCCGTACCCGACCCTGCCTCGGGAAGATAATTCCCCACAAAGTGGACCTTATGTGACCTTTGATGAAGCAGAGTAAAGTAATAAGTGAGGCCTTATAGGTGGGGGCCCTAGGGTGTGCGGGTTGGTTACAGGGAATAATTCTAGCCTGATTTCCTAATCAATGAGTTCCTCACCTACATAGCGTATGTAGCTTTGCTGGTGCTTTAGAGTGCATATATACCTTATGCTATGCAGTGACCTTCATTACCCTCGTGATAGTTATTTAGAGTACTGAACATGTCTCAGCAGTCGATGCCAAAAATACTTTGGCAGCATGTTGATGTCACTGGGGCACTGAAATAGAGTAGAGGTAAAATCTTGAGTCTAGTTAGCCTTGGAATTCGATCGACCACAATTGTTGATGTGTCATCCAATAGTACTTATCTGATTGTTTAATATTTAACTAAATACGAAAAGAGCGTGGCTATAGTTGTGTAAGGCTGGGCTCCTACTCCTGCTGTGATTGGAAGGAATAACTGCCGGTGGCCAAGCTGTAGTACACGTGCGACGATCGCATTAACTGATAAATAAAGCCACCAATTATTTATCCAGAAACGAGGCTTCAACTGAAGCGGTGTATAAGATGTTTCTTGGGAGGCCACACATGCCGGTGTAGTAAAAGGTTTCCCAACTCCAAGACATTCCAAGAGCTTCAGGAATACGAAGATGCTTCGTATTCCGGTTAATTTTAGTATGATGAGTTCGTATCGTTTTTTCGATAAAGACTACCGTGTGATGTTTACTATAGCTACCGAAAGGTGCCAATATAACTATTAATAATGAGAGTCGTACTATAAAGAGTGTAGAAAATCGCGTGCTACTCAAACTCCCCAGATCGAATACTCTCCCAACAAGAGCTTATTTTCTTGCCGACTTTAAGTTATCCGTACTCCAAAGATGTATTTCAAGACATTGACCCTATTTCTCGTTGCTATGTTCATCGGCCTCTGCGTCGGGACACCCGTGGATATCACTGGTGCCAGTGGGCTTGTTTCACGAGATGGCATATATCTTCCTTCGTGCGGGTGTTTTAACGACTGTCTTATCAAGTGTGCAAAAGAAGGAGGGTATTGCAACAATTGCACCTACGAATGCGGTGAGTATTTCTATCCGTACTCAAGAAACTCGAGTATTGAGAATCTGTTTAGATCCGAGATACGAGTGCCATTGTGGATGTACGAACGATTGTATTAGAAATTGTCCTTATGGGAAAAGCTGTATCTGTACAATGGAATGTGGTAAGTGAAATTTGTTCTTGTTTAGACGGGTGACTCTGGGGAGATGTTGATATATTGGGCACGGGTGTAGATTTGAAGTATGCGTGCCCTACTTAGCTACTACCATTTCGTCGTAGCTTGATCCGTACATGTACGCATTGTCGACAAGCGTATAAGATTTGGAGGCTGGGTTTGATGTCAGTTGGGTTTTTTCTTCTTTTTCTTTTCGAAACAAGCAATATTAATCTTTGAGATTATGTTTCCACTACCACTTTTTGTTTTCTTGACTGCATGTAATATTTGTTATGCATGTAATTATAAATGCACCTGAGTTTCCTCGATAAGCTTTTATTCGATGCCGTACAGTCTCGTTCCAAGGGGAGGATATCGGTCTTCCGTCTTATCTGTAGTAAAGTTAATTGAGGGACAAGTCTGTCTGGAAAGCGCTAGAGGCGAAGCGAATTACTTAAGTATCTCATAACGATTGGCCGATCTCTCCCTGTATTCAAGAGCTTTCGTACGTATAAGATAGATTCAATCGATCTCCGGGGGATCCGGGAGTACGTACCTTATCTTGCCTAAAGGCTGATCTTATGTTGTCTTTTATCCTAGTACTTGTAGATCAAAGTCCGACAAAGACATGTCTGGGTGGATAGAGAAGAGGAAAGGTAGCTCTGAACCAGAGCGTTTTAGCTCTCTCAAATATTATAACTCGAGTGATATAGCATGATACTTCAAGTACATACACTAGCATTAATGTGCATACATGTATGTACATGTAGTGGTGTGTAGAGTCATTTGTCACCCATGCATGTACTCAGCAAAAGCTACATGTATTACCTCCCAGTAAGGCTACGTACCTTGCGAATCTGTAGATCGGTTCGTGGCTCGGGAACGCTAGCAAACTTTAATCTTGAAGATCCCACGTGCGCACGCCACTTCTTATCCTGAAAGGGAAGTCTAGCATTTCCCTTTTCAACGCCTTTCAAAACATGTACGTCTTTCCCTTTTTTCTTAATGATCCGCATCTTCTTTTCAAAACACTCTATTGGAGTATGCAGTGCCCGGGGTTGTGTGGGGGCGCTCGAAAGTAATTGGGCGCACTTGAAAAACACCGATCTAGAGTACGGAGATACCATCTATAATTATAAAGGCGCATCTAAGAACTTGAAGAAAATACACTTACAAATACCTCTTATATTTTATCAGATACCATCAAATCGCAGCATTGAGGAGGGACAGTACCTCACAAGATTTATACTAATACACAGCTCGAGGCCTCACCGCTCATACAGGCATATGTAGCCCTCAAAACCATCGCCCTGGTCGCCAAAATCATATATCCAGCAACGACCCACTTCTCTATCATCATTTTTCACTACACTTTCATCCTGTCTTTTAGTTTATTGGCTCTTTATCCGCCCTGGTACTGTAGCCGTCATTTCAAATGTTCACAGCGGAGAGGAGCAGATGAGACTGTATCAGGAATGGTCGAATGCACAACAAGATGAGTTTGTTAAGATTATAGAGACAAGTATGAATGGAGCTGCGGAAACAGTTGTAGATGAGTGTTGAAACTGATATCTTTATAGAGTTAGAGAAGTAGTGGCCTTTGGCTGATGATAAGTTTCAGAATCGTATGGTTATCGCTTCAGTTGCAGAATCTAAACTTCCCAGAATCTGATGAAATACCGGCAGAATCGCGGTTCAGTTACCTTTGTTGGTGAACAATTTCGACTACGACTCGTGGTGGTAGTATCTTCCTCTTCCTAGGAGTGATCTGGCCTATCTATACATGCATAGCTATAGGCCTGATATAGATATCTCTGAAACTTACCACAGTACAATGTTGATTATGAGCAGGTATGATCTCTATATTCTCACAACATGAGATGGTTGGTATATATTGATAACATAGCATGATAGGCGTGTTTATAATAAACACCATTTTTGGTATTACAATGTTCGCCGAGAAAACTGCATCAAAGTTTTGGGTACGGCTCCGGAGCTCTTGAACCTCGTGGCGGTTAGGAGACAAACCTAGGGCGAGGGCTGGTTTTCAGCGAAAAGTGAGTGGGTGGATAGGTGTGCTCGAACTGAATTGGTATCACAAGCGTGAGTAACATTTGAAAACCTAGAAGTCTGTCTAGTGTAAATTAATCAGTTAAACCAGAGAGACATGCATACATATACACATATACACGGTCATGGTGCAAAAATCGTATAAGCCTCGTCTTCTTGCTGGTTGACGCGCATCTGGTTGGCAATTCATTATTCGCTATCGAACTAGCTTCATCATGACCCCAGAAGTGACTGTACCTACTTTGTTCAGGGAATTAATATTGCCAATGGTAGGGTTAAAGACGAACGGCCTGGGTCAATGGCGAATGACCAATTGCAAACCAATCGGGTACATAAGTGTAGGATCGATCGTGCTGTCTCATCCGTATGGAATTAGGAACTTTCCTTGTTTGGTTATTCTTTGTCTACTGCGATTTATCCTTATCAAAAAGTTTCCTTGTAACTACATGTACAATGTATATATAACTGATAGCCATGATCTGATCAGTTCTGCTTGTTTTATCTACTTGTTTATTATTGGAGATGACCTAAGGACACATAATCCCACTATTGAAAATTAAACAGACTCTTTCCCGACACTTGCATGCAATTTGTATACTTAAAAATATAAGGCCCTTCAACAGATCTAGTTTTTGACCAGGCCAATAAGTGCGCATATAACTATTCGTCATTGAACCAGAAGGAACTATATATAGCGCAGCTCCAATTGAGTACTTAGATAATTATTACATATTTGCTCTCTCTCCAGAGGAAAAAAAAATGTTGCCAGCGTTGCGACCGGTTTCCCCTCACTTACCTCCTCTTCCTCTTCTCCTCTCCTCTCCTCCCCTCCATTCTTTTCCACTCGGATTCTTAATTGACCTCTTAAGTTCTCAACGAAACATGCACCAAAAAACTTACAGCAAATCTAAACTGAATAACAGATCCCCAATTACACCTTTGATCGAATCTTGGACAATATGACTAGACGTTACGCCACAGCAATGATATCATATGGCAGTATTTAAACATATTCAGCAAGGATTATTAGATTGACGTCGCTCTCTTCTACGCTTGGCAAGCGTGTCCGGATTACCTCAAGTGCTGGAGATCACTCTTCAGGGTATTTATGTGCATGAGTTCGTTTTTGGTTTTTGCATAAGCTTTTCCCCCTAGCAGTTCTGAGTTTGAGGTTGAGAATTTGGGTTTCAACTTCGGTGGGTCCAACTAGGCAATGATGTGCGTCATGATGGTGTTCCCGCCACACTGCAATGACGTCGGGCATGCTTCACTGTGGCTCTTACTTAGCAAAGCAGCAAAAACCACGATAACCAGCTATTTTCTTTTCTCGACACGTGTGGAAGGCGGACAAAATAACCCCGCAAAGAATAGGTAGCCAGGAACTTAATCTTAACAACACCAACAATCAGAGGACAGTTGTACAGTTATACAGTTGTACAGATCGATAGACCCCTCCTAACCTTCCGTCTACCGTTCATAATCCTAGCTCTCGGCCTTCTCTCCAGCATTTTGCTTCTTCTTCTGCCTTTTCGTATTTCCATACACTCTATTCGAATTCTCTTAGTGAAATACCGTTACCCCACTGAGTAATATCTGCGGGGACTGATCCTAGTAGGCATCATGGAGATTGATCCAGAACTTAAACAGGAACCTCCTGGCTCAGATCACTCAGAACATAGCACCGTCGCCTCACCACCGCCGGCAATTAGTCCTGGTACCGCGAGCTTAATACCGCTCGAAGGAGACGATTCTCTTACATTATTGCCAGAGGTCCAAGCAACCGGAAGGCCAGCTGGGTCAAGAAGACCATTTCAGAGAAGAAGGAGGAGTAGAGCCTGTGATGCTTGTCGAGCTCGAAAAACGAAGGTAAGATAACTTTTTGCTTGTGAAAATAGTGTTGAGCCGTATTCTGATATGTGATGTATTCTGTAGTGTGATACTCCTGATCATGGTCCGTGTTCTGCGTGCGTATCTGCCAGCTTGGTCTGTAAATTCTCGGGGGGTGAGGATCGAAGGCGGGCTGGACCTGCGAGGTCTGTACCTTTTTTGTGTAACTTTTGGATAAATAGTTGTTGACAATCTTCCTCAACCGATTTCCAGGCGTGTAAGAGCTCTAGAAAGCACGGTCCAAGAGCTGACTCGCAAACTCGCCGAAGCCGAGAATAAACTTCAACACATTGCCCTCTCTGGTAGCGAGACCGGATCTACAGAGAAGCCTCCGCATTCACCTATAAACTCCGAATTTAGTATCACCAGCCCACGTTTCAGAGGCTCTACATCAAGCCACGAACGCCAACCATCCCGCAGCTCTCCGAAGAACGATGCATATGGCGAACCAGGAGGTTATGGTGGGGCACGCAAGGATCAAAGCAGACACGAGTTGTATCAAAATGATGGAACTTCGTGGGATCATCATATCTTCGGTCCGAGCTCATGTCCGAGCTTTTTGCACTCCTATAATGACTATCTTTCTCGTCTTGGTTACAGGCCGCCTCCGGCGTCAAATCCCACGATGAATACAGGGGGGCCGCCATCCCCAAATCCGAATACACGGATACCAAACCCGTCGGTACCGGATAAATATCTTCCCTTCGACTTACGAGCCCTACTTCCTCCACTTAAATTGGCAAAGCAGATGTTTGAAGTATTTCGGACAACGGTGCAGAATTACACGCCGATATTTTATTGGCCAGCTTTGGAAAAAAAGATTGAGCGGGCATGGAAACTTCCCATATGGGATGGGGATAACGAGGCGGTGAGAAGTGTTTTTTGTGTAATTATGATGTTGCTAGCGGTAGCAAATCAATTTATCGAACCTGGAGAGCTAGACGAGCCGGAGGGTGGAGATTGGGCACATGTGCAGGAAAGGTATGTAGGTTTCATGGTAATGATATGTTACCTATATTGTCAGCTAATGGTAGATGGTAGGAACGGATGGATGTTCTTTGAGTTTGGACGAAAATATTCGAATCTGAACAATCCCGATTACACCATCGACGACGCCATATGTATCCCCCCCCCCCCCTCTTTTCTTTCTTTCTTTCTTTCTTTTTTCTACTATACTGGCCATCCTGAAAATCTCCTAACAGGTATTTAAACAACAGATCTCTTACTCATGGCTTTCTACCTCGATAAAGCCTTTCTTCCATCCCCTTGCTGGATGATAACAGGTGCCATGGCTCGTGTGTGTCAGGATATTGGCATTTACCGCCGTACTCCATCCGGGCTCTATAATGACGTTGAAATTGAATGTCGAACTCGTCTTTTCTGGGTTGCATATATCCAAGACCGGAAGATTTCGATGAAACTTGGCCGACCCGTAATATTTCTCGATCAACATATCGATGTCGGTCTTCCGGGACTTCCTGGTAGCAAGAGAGGGGATAATAACCAAGAGAACGATAACCAAGGCACTCAAGGCGGCCAAGACGATCAAGGCTCATCAAGATCCCCTGGAGTAACCAATATGATAGATCGTCAAGACGATTTCAACGACGAAGAAACAGAAACATCCTTGCAGGTGTTTAAAGCAACGATCTATATCGCTAAGGCCAGTGAAAATTTGTTGAATATTGAATTGAAGCAAAATGGTGGCGAGGAGGATGTCAAACATTTGCAGAACATAGATGAAATGTTGAAGAAGGCGTGGGAGGTTTTTCCATCGGAAATGACAGATTTGAGAAGATCAGATGTTCTCGACCTTCCCGCAGTAAGACGTATAAGTCCCGTCATGATGTCCCACGAATATAGAAACCAATGGCTAAATTTTAACAGCATTATTCCATCTTCAACACTCACGTATCATTCTTTACCGCTATTTTACCGACTTTACCGGCACCCCCTCCCTTCTTCGTGAGTTCCGGACTTTCTGTCTCGCTCAGTCAATTCAGGTTGCCAAAATTACAGCTCATATATTATCTCGAGTGATCAAAAACCCCGAGTTTGATCGTATTTTTGGTCTCCGCACCGATGAGCTCGTCCTTATTCATACGTTCCGTGCAGCGACAGTTCTGCTTCTTGGTCATTACTGCAATGATCGCTCTCTACTTGATGTTACCGCTGATGAAGTAGGCGTTTGTGCAAGAGCATTGAAGAGTGCTGCAAGAAGCCACTCTCTGGGTCAGAAATTACTGGAATTATTCCAAAATTTCGCAAAAATGTTCGGTTATCAGACTGGAGTCACGGGGGAGCTTCCCCATCCAATCCCGGAAGCAAGCGAAGATACCATCGACGAAAAAGCTGAAGAGATTCATGGTGTATCAACACCAAAAGGTCCGTGGGATAACGTTGAATCCAGCAGCGCCATCGCGACTCCACAATACAATAACGCTGTATACGGCGGATACCATACCCTCCAAGGTAACACACCCCGCTGGATACCGACCACCAATATCTCTCTCGTCCCGACATACCAGCAACTGCTGCACTCAAGCCAACCTGTAACCCAGCCTCCTCCACTACCACATCCACTTCCACATCCACTTCCACATCAACTTCCACAATCACAATCACAGGAACATCACCAGACGCATTCCGGGCTGATATTCGTGGACCCGGGCATGGGAGGCGCAGGTTTACCGACTGCTGTTGAGGAAAATCCACAGGGATCCCTTCCAGATCAACAATCACCGATGCCGCATCAAATTGATTGGGATGTGTATCAGCAGATGTTGACTTTTGATCCAAATTTCGAGGTATATATGGGAGGACCTAGTCATAGGCATTTCTTATACGATAGAGGGGAGTAATCTTATAGTCGGCCTCTCTATATTGAGGATTTTTCCCCAAAGGGGATTAACCATCAGAAGGGCGATATTTGTTGGTCCCGGTTTCCTTCCCTTTATTGCAAGATCCCCCTCTTTGTAAAGATGCGATTCTCCGGTCCCAATCAAACCCTATAAAGAGAGCCGACTATAGTGTATTTTGAGTATTGTATACAACGAGTCTTGTTGTTTCTTTTTCTTTGTTTTGTTTTGCTTCTGTAAAGATTTGAATTAGTGGAGGAGGGGGTAACAGGCACTCAAACATACATATGTTTTATCACGATCTTTTCGTTGTAAATATTTTTAAGAGAATGCGCGGCTTTTATTTTATGGGGGTTGAGTGAATCGATTCCTGTTTGAGCACCCTGAGCCAAATAAATCACGAGAAGAGGTGACGTTAGCGATACTTACATGTATACGTACGTTCTTTGCTTTTCCATAGGCAATCATGTGTTGTATGGACCAATATTCTTACTAGCTTTATCAACAATTGACGCAGATAGAGGGGAGATGGACTCCATGTAGTCGTCCACCTGGTATCCGACGATAGGATTGCCGAGAACTAGCAAGTGATAAACATTGCCCAAGTTGTATATTGATAGCCCCAAAGTTCTGTATTCACGCATTTCACATGTAGATCACCGCACGGGATAATATCGGCCCTGGATGTGAGATGTTGCCCAAGCCGCGTACGTATGTATGTATGAACAAAGAAGTGATATGTGATATGAGCCGGCCATTGCCTCAGAGAGATAGAGGAGAAGATCGTTGAGTAGATCCAAAAGTAGAGGCATATCATTATCGGTATATACGGCCAAGTCTCGCGTGGCCAGATCATTCAAGTGGGGGGGCTATTTCATGAAATCCGACGACGAGGTGTGAAGCCAGACAACTAACCATCACCACCACCACCATCAGGCCTAGGGAGAGCTCGAGAGGAGTTTCACTGGCCGGCAGAAGAGCGGTATAATTGTTTTTCGCTACCACCTTTCCCCAGCTGTGGTTGTTGTTGGACCATATCATGATGCTGACCAGTCCATGGCCGGGCACGTCGTCAGCCCCATCATAGCACGGTTGCGATAACTGAATTTCAGCTGTGCGAGTGGGAAGGAGGAAGGGTATATATGTACATGTATGTATATATATTTTTCTTTCATGTGGTTGGGTTGGGCTGACTTGTCGCAGAAATCATTGATCACTAACCCGATTTGAAAGAAAAACCCCACTACTGGCGGGCGCCACCGCCACCCAACTACTAAGCACCTACCGTAATTCGCTATGCTACCTATGCTATATTTGGAATTTTGCACCAGCTGAACGAACGTTAGTTTAATTTACCCCTCCTTCACGACGTTCCGGGTGATTGTTTGTGATGGGGGGTATTATTTGGGGGCTTCTTGTGTGGGGTGTAAAAAAACAAAATCAGAGATTCTTAAATAGCCATGAGTACCGTCTTGAGTCAGACTCCATGGCATTAGGACTAGTCGAGCAACATCGCCCTTGTCACTAACTACCCTCGAGTTGGAGTTCATGGCAGTCATATCGGCTTTAAGCGCTTAAATTATAAGTTTATGGAAGTGGCCGATGCACTTTCTTTTTCACTTGCCTTGATATTTCAGTCTGTTGCGGCTCCAGTGTTGGCTTGTCCACCTAGATTAGACGTCGTTGGTAGTCGTTGACAAAACGATCATTACCCCTCCTGTAGCTCAAGTCTATTATGTACTGGATTATGGTTTTTCTAAACGCTTTGGAATATGATTGGTCGAGAGCTGGAAACCCTAACCCCCATGGCAACCAGACCACCCACCAAAAACCGGGACACTGGCATGCCGAACTCATTAACAGGATGGCATTGGAGGTGGAATTAATTGTGGGCGGTATTGGAATTGGTACCTTATTATTAACTGAAGGAACTGGATCATTATGGAGAAGGTGGACATTTGCGGGAGCTGGCAATGAGTGACTGAGAGCTGGCTATGGTCAACAGCGGGAGCTGGCCAACGTCGATATGGGAGGCGCTGGCTATGGGAAACTACTATAGATGGATAAGGGAACAGTAATTAACTACTGGAGCTGGCCAACTACTATGGGTGAGCAAGTACGTGTACTGGAGGTGGGAAATACTGCATGGCGGTGGGAGAGACCTCGCGGTCGCGAGGTGGGCCACTACTAGTAGACATGTACATACATGTATATATATGTACACACAAGGGTTAGGGTCTGTTAAGGACATGTAACCAACTACTACAGTGCCCTGTAGACAACGGAACTCTAAGAAGGGGGCAAGGGTGCACTAGCTAACTATATATAGGAAAGAGGGACCACTCCTCTTGTCAATCAATCAATTCCATTTCACCTTAATTCGCTATACAGATCTACACCCCCATCCGCTCCCTAATTACCATCCCCATTTTTCTAATTATTTTTCTTTTAATGCAATGATGCGGTAAGATTAAGCCTTACTTGGAGCCACTCATGAAGCCGAACCCTCTCAAAACCACTTATTAAGTTCGACGCAAATAGAGTCAAACTCACAACTCCTCGTGGTACCTTATCTCAGCCTAGGGCTAGCTAGAAATGACCCTACGTCCCTCATCATCATCGGGGCTGATAAGCTATAGATAAAGCCAGTCAAAGTCTAATAGAGCCGGGTATGCAGACCCTCAATCCGAGGAAGCGTTTACTACTGTACTTTACAGTAGTAACAGTACTCGTACGCGCCAAAATGATTCTTACCTATCTATATTCCCTTTACCCCCTCCCGCCTCCCTATTCGGCTAGGGTACGCCTGGTAAGAGTCATCTCATCTTGGTTTCCATGTTACGCGACGCCCAAGGTGAAGAGACAAGCCAGCTGACTAGAGGTGTCTCTTGCTTGTAGTAGGCCAGGTTTCCGAGTAAAACAGGGCGCTTTGAGTAGTGCCTTGGACTGAGTGATGGTGCTATACTAAATTTATTGGCATTGCTGCTGCGGGACGCAACATGGACAGCGGGTGAGGATTTCTGGTGGGTAAGTGAGTGTTGTTCGAGTAAGGGCCGGGTACTCTTTTTAATTTACATGTAGTCTCGAGAGGTATACCTGAAGACGCCTTCTGATTTAGGAAGAGTCCGCAAGTGAAGTGGTCTCTATAGGGATTTGTCTGGGAGGGGTGAAGAGAAACCAGCCGGCTGTGCATGGAAGGGGCTGTGTCCAGCTTGGAGGGGCCCGGGGAGATAAATGGTATAATCCTCATACAGACCAACGTACGATCTTCAGGAATTCAAAGATCTAACACATGGGTAACCATCACTCCTCGTCCCCCACCTAGGCCAGCAGGAGTCGGGGATTTGTCAATCACAAGCCATCACTCGCCCCATCTCGGCAGCGGCTAGCAACATCTATTTATTCTCCCCTCGCGCCCGCCTCTATCCATGCCTACATTCAGCCCTCACAGAGAACGTACCAGTAGGACCGGACTGGAAATGCCGTAGTCCCGGATAAAATGTGTTGGGTTGAGGGCATAATGTTAACCACAATTTATCACTCGAACCTGCGTATTCCCTAGATAGGCAGGCTGGGAGCACGCCGGTAGGGGTGTCGGGGTGTACTCATCACACCAACCACGTCTCGATCACTTAGACAGGAGTACGGTTGACAACTAGGTTACCTGCCTGCCTCTCATATAAAAGCGTACACCGCAATACTTGGCCGCGTGAGAAGGGGTGGATGGGGTCTATAGGCATATGTCCCTAGGCCATCTAGCTAAGTGGTTTAGACACCCCCCTCCCCACCTCCTCCACTATACTACTATACTCTCTGGGCGAGAACGAACCTTTACTTATCTAGATGTAGCCCCCTGAATAACCAAGGAAACACATCCAGTCACCAGTCCCACCTACCACTTCAACCCCGCCATCACTCCATGGTCCAGTCCCACCCGTCACAACACTATTAGAACCAAAACCGCCGCCACGACGTATACCGCGACACCACCTATAGCTACTACTACTCCACTTTCTCCTAGGAATGAGAAACCAAAATCGAGCGATCGAGTGATCATCCATGAAATCAGTCGCGGGATCGGTCACATGCGGTCACTCGATTGGTTTAGCTCGATGTGCCGCCTAGCTTGGTTTGTGTGGGAGAACTAGGGGGGTTATACGGTGATGGGGTAGGAACGGTACGTTCACGATCTTTCTGTGGTGTTTCTGTGTTTCTTACTGCCCGGGATGTTTTAGATCCAGAGAGAGATGAGACGGTCCGGGTTGTATTATGGACAGCTAGCTATCTATCCAGCTGTGATCCCACTCTCCTCACCTCCCATGCCACTTACGAGAACCCCGCAAGTCAATCATTTCCCTACATCACAACAGCACATTCAAACACTTTCCAAGTCTAACAACCGTCTATAAAAAAATATCCTATATACAACCTCCCCGCGCCCCCACTACCGCCGCCTAATAACGTCCACGCCCCCCATAAACGGCTGCAACACCTCCGGCACCCTCACCCCCACCCCCTCCTCATACCCATACTCCAACAACGCAATCAGCATCCTCGGCACCGCCACCGCCGTCCCATTCAGCGTCCACACAAACCCTCTTCCTCCACTGGAGTCCTTGACCCGGGTATCTAATCTGCGCGCCTGATAGTCCGTGCAGTTACTCAAACTCGACACCTCGCCCCACGGATCCTTGCCCGACCGCGAGGGCATGTACACCTCGATATCGATCTTGCGACACGCACTCGCGCCCAGGTCCTTGGTCGGCATCTCGAGCACCCGCGCATAGAGACCTAGGCTCGAAATGAGGTTCTTCTGGAACTCCAGCATCTCCGTAAACACCCGCTCCGCTGCTGAGTCCGGGGCGGGGACGACATTGCCGCCCTGGTCGTTAACCGCCGCATCGTCGGCAGGCGTCCATGCGAACAGCTCCACCTTTGTGAACTCGTGAACGCGGTATAGGCCCTTACTCTCCACGCCCCGGGCGCCCGCCTCCGCACGGTACGCGCGCCCTGCGCCCACGACCTTTAGCGGGAGTTCGGCGGCCTCAAATACCCGGCCCGCGCCCAACCCCGCCAGTGGGATCTCGGCGGTGCCTGCGAGCGAATGCGGGATCTTGCCGTCGGCCGTCTCGAGGGCGTACACCTGCTGCTCGCCGTTCGCGTCGCGAGGCCGGAAGCCCGCGGCGGAGGCGATGTGCAAGTATACGATGCTGGGCGGTGAGACGAGGCGCCAGCCGGACGTGCGCGCGGTGGTGAGCGCGTAGTTGATGAGTGCCTGCTCGAGGAGGACGAGGTCGTCGAGGAGGTAGTACCATCCCCACCCGCTGACGGTGGAGGCGGAGGCAAAGTCGAGGAGGCCCAACTCTTCGCCAATGTCGGTGTGGGACTTTTTGGACGCCCAGTCAGTGGTTTTGGCAAGGCCCTCGTTGATGTAGCCCAGGAGGCGCGGTTCGGCGCCGACGGGGGTCTCGACGTGGGTGCGGTTGGGCAGGGCGAGTGCTAGGGAGCGCAGTTCCTCTTCCAGCCGCGATTCGGACTCGGTCAGGGTCGCGATGTGGGCCTTGAGATGTTTTGCAGAGGCGTGGAGATCCGCCGGGGGCGGGGCGTGGTGCTTTTTGGCGTACGATTTGATGCTGGAGAGGACGGCATTCTTCTCCTCGCGGGCGGAGCGGGCGCTGTTTTCGAGCGCGGTGAGTTCGGAGTGGAGGGCGACGATGCGCGCGGGGTTTGCGGAGAGGCCGGCGTAGTTCCTGTTGATGCAGTTTGCGGTGTGGTAGTCGGCGGCGTCGCGGATAAGGCGGAGGGGGGGCGTCTGCTTGGGCGCTGTCGGCGGGGGTTGCGAGGAGGCTGCGTCGGCGGGGGTTGGGGTGGTGCTGGTACTGGTGCTGGTCTCGGAGGAGAAACACCGACGCCCGCTCGTGATTCTGATAAAAGAGGAGGATGGGCAGAAGACCCTTGGGGGTTTCCGCAGTTGTCGGGGAAGTCGTGAGATCATGGTGGTGATCAATTGCGGATTTGAACGTCGCGAGGTGCGTTTGGCGGGGGTGGCACGGCGGTGGGGGGTTGTGAGTGTCGCTTCGGAGCCTCAATCACGAGATATCATTCGCAGCACAACACCGCAACGATCCAGGTTTCTAAAGAAATCCTGACCTCGAGCTGGAAAACTGGCCAAAGATGCAGCCAGCCTTGTGAATGATCACCCCAGCGATGAAGATGAAGGAATCTCTGGCAGCAGGTAAGGCGCTGAGGTTAGACGATGATGAAGTCAATAGGTGAATTCACGGAACGATGTTCTCCAGCAGTCATCCCCTCAATGCTGTGTTAGTTTGTTCAAAGGCTCAGTTTCCTCGAAGGAAGATAACCTTCGATGCAACCTTTCAACATGCTGTGGTCCGGCAACATGTCTCTTTAGGACACACGTACGTGTACTCGAGTTGATAAAACCATAAATCTAATACTCACAAGAAGGCAAATTTGCAAAGTCTAGGGTCCAGGTATCAATTCTGTCTACTACATACTCCACAACGGCGTTTCAAAGGGCTCTTTTTCCATGAGGCAGTTTGAGTATTGGTTGGGTTGAAGATAAGATAAGATATATACATGTAGCTACATGTACATCATTAGCACTGATATAAATCGAGTGATAATCCGTGATCACATACGCACGGGCACCATAAGCATCGGAGGCAACTCCTCTCGAAGTATCAAAAATACCATCAATGACCCGTCATTGTGCATTGCATGTTTCACCTCAAGGATAATTCAGGAAACCACCGACCCAGAGATAACAATAAAATAAAAAAAAGGAATCAGAAGAAATTATACTCTTCAATTATCACAAAAAGCCATATGTGCGCCTAAGGCAACGCTTAATTAATTAGCTCGGGCACTATATTACGATGGAGGGGTGTTACACTTGAACAACCGCACCAGCGGCCGACAACATAGAGCCCGAAAAACTAAATAAGCTTCTCTACCAGTACGTAGTGCTTGGCCCGTTCAGTTGATCAATCGCGACCCCACACTTACGGGCCAAGCTTCGGTTTCTATCAAGCTAGCTTGGCAGCACTTGACGGGTAACGATATCGACACTACCACCGTACCACACTTAATACTCGGATCCAGTCAAAGACACAGATATCAAACCCCAGCTACCCCCAGCCGGATATCGCCAGATCAAGCATCTATCAAAGACTATGTTTCAGACAAGAAACACTTGGATTCAAAGAAAGAACCAATTCCTCAATCAACTACTGGCTGCCAGTCTATTGCTAATTAAACATCTCAGCTAGCTCTGGCTAGCTAGAAGTGCTGTCTCCACCACCACCTAATTGGCCAATTGATAACGGGGCAAATAACTACCTAGCGCACATACACAGCGAGTGATAAACCCACAGGCCCTCAATATGCTGAGCCCAACTATCCAATCAATCCAGCAATCAGATATACCGAGAACAAAAGCCAATATCCACATTAACGTCGACGATCGGATCGCAATATCAAGCCACATATATGCAAAGATTAAGTACCGGGTCACGATCATCCAGCCAACCCAAGTAACTACCGTGGTCCCCCCTAGTAGTACAATATAATCTCCTTATACCAGAATACAGATATACACCTGTAACATATCATATCCCACTATGTACCGGCCATCTACACTCCCCATCCTGCTACCTACAACTAACTACAAGCCCCCCCCCCGACCTCTCCCCCACCTCCTACCTAGCTAGCAGGTACCATACAATCGGCCGAAACGCTCACGTTCAGCTCACCGGCAATACTTCCGTTTTGCAATTCCCAACATTGGAATCACAACTAACTACTTGAAACATAAATAGATAATTCAGCTGCCACGCCGAACAAAAAAGATAGTTTCCAATACCGGTCACCGGATTTTTTTTTTTTCTCTTTTCTGTTCTCGCAAATGTCATAGGTGAGGAGATGTAATTATAGGACGTAATCTAACGGGGATTCCTGCTAACTAGCAGGAATTCGAGGGGGGCCTAGGGAGGCTAGGTAGTGTGTGCGCCGAAAGAGCCAGTGATACACCGATCAAGAGCCAGTCCGGTCAAGCAGCGAGCTAGTGCTTTGGTTTACATAACCGTATCTGCATCATTTTCAGAATTCAACAAGCTAGTAATTAGATGTAGGTGGGTTAGGTAGAAACAAGTAGTTTGCATATATGGGGCTAGAACTAGAATGTTTCATTTCCGGTTTTTGCTTGTCTCGGAGGTACGGCTGAGGTGTAGCTGAAAAAACGTAGGTAGGTGGGTAATGGGATGGGATGGGATCGATGGGCATCTAGGTAGAGGGTCGGTGGTTGGGTTTTGGTTTATTCTACTCTGCTCTACTGGTTGTTTGTTTTATTGAGATCTCGCGGAGAATGATTGATGCTGCGGACTAAAGGCAGAATTGATCATGATCACGATAGCAATAACGATGAAATCCATTCCATTCTCGATAGCTACTCAAATCCAAGACACTGCGACTGCAGTAAAGATACAGTAGTTAGTCACCCCGCCTCGCCTCACATCTAGCCCCCCCCCGATCCTGTTCCTCTCGAGTGTCAAGATGTAGAAGCACAGAAACCCCAACCCCACGAACCATGTCCATCCCGTCACGATCCAGTCCCTCACCAGATCTCTGATATCACCACCCACAACCCTTCCTTCCCCCAAGAGTAGCTACTCAAGGCAGCACCGCCAACCCAAGCCAAGCAGCTAGCCAGCCAGCCAACCCAACCCAAGCCAAGCAGCTAGCCAGCCAGCCAACCAGCAGGCACCATATCGGTCTCCGAGAATGCTATGTAGTTTGCTAGCTAACCGAGCAGATAAACGGCAGTACGGTGTCCAGCGATTAATCTTCAGCCCTATGCCGATGACGCTCAGCTGAGTTCCCTGCATCTTGTTTTTCCTACCTACAATACGCCACTTGCTTGCTTCACTCTATCCACTCTCTCTAGAGTACTGCTCTAGACAAGAGCACTCAAGCACTCAAGCGCTCGATAGAATATGTCAGCCCGCCCCCATGCATACACACATGTATGCACCGGGTTACTTCCAGGGCTGAAGTGCCTTCTCTCTCTCTCTCTCTCTCCCTCCCACTTTGGGCCTAGTTAGTCCGCACTGTAGTTCAGCCCTACCGCACACATGCATGCACGGGCAGGGGCGTGGGTGTTGTATGTCATGTAGGGTGCTCTGGCCAAGGCTCACACACCACTCCACGGTAGACGGTAGAGTGTGTAGGTTACTACATGGAGAAGAGAGAGAGAGGTTACTGGGGTGAGGGGAGAGAGAGGATGCGGGCTCGCAGAGCGCAGACAAGGCGTGGATGGTGGGGAGCTTAATAATTCACCTATTGTAACCAGCGTCCCAACCCGATCCATCCATCTCGGAAGCCTGTCCTCTAGTCGGAAAGCTCACTCACTCACTCACTCACTCACTCACTCGGCATGTGGGATGGCGGCGCGCGCGCGGGCAGTTGGAATCGAGATAGGTAGGTCGGCACCGTAGCAAGTAAAAACAGAACATACGAGTAGAGCAGCCCGATCCGGCCGATAGGGTAGATCTGCTCGTTTCGTTTTTCGTTTCGCCAACGGCGGCCGGTACGGTGCAGTAAATGTAAATGTATGTATGCACGTGTCATCCATCTCAACCTACCGGCACCGCTGCCAATAGACCACCGCCGCAACCGTAGAGTAGATTGCGGGGGGAAGTCGGTGAGATCCGATTCCGCACGGGTCTTACAGTGGGTGGCATGGCAGCGGGCGGTATCGTATCGTATCTTATCGTATCGTATCGTGATTGATTTGCCATACGTCAGGTGCCGGGGGGTGGTGTCAGTGATCATGGTTTTGGGCCCGGGGGGGGGGGGGGGATTCGGTGGCTTGTTTGGGCTTATGGCTGCGGTCTCGGGATTATCTGTAGAGAGCACTAGACGAAGAAAATTAAACCCGGGAGATGGAGAGCATGCACTAGAGACACAGGGAGATGGTAGATAGAGAGAGAGACAGAGGCTTAACGGGACTACTAAGATCTCTCAGTCTCTGGGCTGGGCCTTGTTTCTGTTTCGCTTTTTTTGTTTTTTTTTCGAATTCTTTGGCTCGTTTACGTAGAGTTTCGGGCACGAGATCTGATTCCTGGAAGTATTACACTCATGATTTCCAGGATCATTCTGACAGATTTCCGGTGGTGGCTTTTTCCGTCATGGCCAATTGGATATTCGATATCGATATTGTTCTCCATACGTATCATATCACGATCATGACCATCATCTCTGGAGCTCGTGAAGTTTAAACAAGTGCTGGTACGTGGCAGTAATAGTGATGATCGAGTTTTGGTGGTGGCTTTTTTTAGTTTTTTTCCAAGTTACAATTGCACTTGTAGAGTCATTTCGTGTCTTGAATTCCATGAAATCTATCCTGTACGTACATACATGTCTATCAAATTGATTCATGAAAAACACCACCGACATGATGGGATCCTCAGCTAGCAGCAGCCTAGAGTATAAGAGTAATTGCGTGAATTACCCACCGCCACTGCAGTGTCCAATTGGTGCGTACAATATGAATCAAGTCTTGTTTTCTAATTCTCTCTCGGAAAAAAAGTTAGGTTTCTCGTGATATTGTCTCAATTTACTCGTACGTAGTTCAAAAAAGCAATTTATGTATGCAGATAGACAGATGATGATCTAGATCTTGATCTAGAGTAACGGAAAGGCAGAGTAGGAGCTAGCTCGAGGCAGAATAGATACATACTTTGACATGATACTAGAGGGCAAGCTAAGCATACGTACATGTACATGTATGTACGGGCCATGCCAAACCATCTACTGTAGTATGAAGCAGTGTAGTGTTGTAGTAAGTGACGATGTACAAAGCCATCCAATCACCTACAGTAATTTTACCCTCCAGTACCAATACTACTATCAGTCTACTCTAGCTAACTAGATATAGTAGAGTATAGTACTAAGGTACATGTAATACCATCTCCACGTACCTGCACACACCATAGGATCGGATATCCAGCAAGTACCTTACCTCCTCTCCTCCACGTAGGACCAGATCAAACCCCCATACCCAGCCACCACTCTCAACCCAACCCAACCCAACCCAACCCAATCCGACCATGTACCAGTCAGCCAGCCCTACAGTATCCCAGGAAGAACCTGGCTTCCGGAACATTCCCCTACCCTAGCTCGATTGTCCCCCTACTCTTGATGTACCTACCCTACATACATACATGTACCTTACACGTAGAATCATTCGATACGTGCACGGTACTCTACCCTACCGGTGCGAACCTTGCCTGTTTTGGTACAGTGCCTTCAGCCCTATGCTATCTGTCGGCTCCTCCCTAGGGTCCTACTGGCTGAGGGAATCGACCGGGGCGTAACCTTAATGTCTGGAGTAATATTGGCATTAGGCTCGTCCCCAACCCGTCTACTTCCATGCTTCCAGGGCATTACTGAGCAGCTTGCTGCTAAGTAGGGGATGGGTACGAGACTATATTGGCATGTAACAAATTGTACAGGGGAAGGGAATGTACCCTTCCTACCCTCCCTCTTTCTTCCCTTCCCTTCCCGGATTGGATTGGATGGCATGGCATGATCCAACAGTGGGCCCGAGTGTTTTTGTTTTCGATTAAGCCCTGGTCGGCGTCTGTTAGCTGGCTGTTGTGCTGGCAGTCAAGCATGTCCGTGGCCGGCGGGCAGGCGTGGCGGGCCACGAGGTGGTTACAGAGTAGAGTACTTGGGCAATCTGCCAAAAGTCGTGCGGTGTCGTGTATGAATGCCATGCCATAATTAAACAATGTAGAGTAAAAAGTAAACTTCATGATACAACAAACTCACTGATACGCTTGATGATAGGCTGTTACTGTAAATCCCCCTCTCACTAAAACACCTAAAGCAACAGAATCCCTATCCCTATCCTTATCCCTATCCCACTATCGTAACCCCTCACCCTCCCCCCAGCCCTCTCACTCGCTATCGCTCCTCTCCGACACTACTTACTCTACTCCCATGGCGAACCACCCCAGCACCTCTACCACCTCTACCACCAAGCCAAGTCTCACCGGACCACCCCGAACCCAACCCACTGCAGCCCTATCCGAATCCTGCAGCTTGGTCATAAGGCTGTTGCTATCCCTATTCCTATCCCTCCTTCCCTGCCCTACCACCCTACACCCCCCTCCCCACAGCCGCAGAGTCATCAACAAAAATCCCTCCTGTACCATTTCGTCATCTGCAGCACTAGCACGCATGCGGCGAGCTTCTAGAAAGAACACAGGGTGCAGGTGACCCCCCACTCGTGTGCAAGGTGTAGAAATGGGCACCCGTTAGTGCAGGTCCCTGCAGGCGCATCTGCGCGGTTTTTTGTAGCCAGTGGGAGCGCATTTCTACTCTACACTTGAGACTGCAACTGTGGCTATCTGGATAGAGTGGGAGCCAGAGTAGAGTACAGCCTCCGGTAGAATTATTGTGGAAAACAGAGACAACGATCACGCCGAGAACAGAGCGATTCTCCAACGCCACCTTTCCGCAATAATTCTACCGGAGGCTGTAGGTAGAAGCCAGAGTGTTACGCCCCTAATGCAAGACTCACGATGCGGTTGTGGATGTGGCTATCCAGACGGCCTGTCACTGTCTGTCGCTGTCGCTGTCACTGTCGCTGTCCAAGGTACATAGAGTAATTGTAAATGACGCTAGTTGTTGGATCCGTGGATTACAGCTCAGCCATCAAGCCACCGTCTATCTTCCTTCCTGTCTCTGTCTCTGTCTCTGTCTCATAATCTATCGCACCCTAGGGAGCCAAGGTAGGGTAGAGTAAGGTACGCCGTACCGCCGGTTCACCACCTCCACTGGGCTAGGTACTCGAGAGTACGCCGACGGCGGCGGCCGGCGGCTCTAGCAGCCGCATGCAGGTACTAACCTACATGCCCCCGGGCCAAGGGACGTCGAGGGGCTATTAGAGTTAGGGCTGAAAGGAATGTATGTCCCTACTCTCCCAAACATACATCTCCATCGTGGGTATTTCGACATAGCCACGATCTCTGTTGAGATTCCCTGGGCCCCAGAGTCCTGCACGGAGATAGCACCCAAACAGGAACAGGCCACACACATTCTACCTAACCCTGGCTATATTTACCTGCATATATCGCAGAGTAGAGTTGGTTAGGTAGAGTGCTCTACTCTGGGTACTATAATTAGTCAACGCAGTTGTGCTGTGCGACACGAATGGTTGGATATGTCTCGCTCGAGAGATCTCCCCATCAATGCATTAAAGTATTTGGGTCCCCCCCCTTAATTGAGCCTCAAACTCATGGGCCGGAGCCTCGTGGGGAAGCCAGAGCCTCAATTCAAACACCTGGTAATATATTGTTTGGGGAAATGCCAATGCTAAGCGATAGTTCTGTAGCTTTTAAACTTGTAATATTGTAAACCGGATTCCGCTCGCTGAGTGACTGATGATGCCACTAAGACGAGGCAGAACCCTCCCTATTTATACATATTGGAACCTATGCCAAGGCCCGCTTTCTAATACTAAAGAGATAACGATAATAGAATAAGATAATCAACCCGAAGATAACCCCAGTAGAAAAGCGCCCCCGCATAGTTCCGTTCCTCCATTCTAATTCCGACACGTAACCATAAACCCCGCAATTGCCAGTAACCGAGCTGTATCATGTTATTGTCCTAGAGCTACTTCCCTAAGTAGAATGGCCTGCAGCCATATGCCCCGCTTCTATTCCGTTCCGGGTGAGACACCCAATAGTAAGCGTGCCCTCACAACAGCCTAATACTAGTGTGGTTGCACCCGGTGCCCCCACACCCCTCGGTACCTTTCTATGCTTGTTCCTTCGTTACCCGACCGTACTCGCATCACAACCCATCACTCATATTATCCCTGTTCCTTGACTTAGGAGCAGTGTTCGTGTTTCCTATAACACTACTCCCCCTTCCTAGACGTCGCCCTCGACCGTTAAAACCTCTCTATGATAAAAACCCTTTGGGAAAAGTCATAGAGTAGGAAAGGTATCGAGCTAGTCTTCCCTAGTCCGCTGTCGTTTCAGAGGTCGTCTCGAGTTGGTGACGGGCCCTTGGCTCCGCGTATGGGGCCGAGTGTTGGTGACCGGTTTGAAGTTCTCATCTAAGAGTGCCTCTTGAGGGTCGGGTGTTGCTAGTCGTTTTCGTGTATTCTGCTGCCTGCCCGGGTTGGGGTCCTCTCGATAAGGTCTCAGCAACATCTCGTGGAATACGTCATGAACCTTCCATTCTGCCGGAAGATTCAATCTATAAGCCCTATTTCCTACAGCCGCGGCAACCTCGAAGGGGCCTGTAAACTTGTCCGACCATTTATTGTAACCACCGAGGTTCCGAGTATCCAGCAAGACCTTTTGACCGATTGTGAACCGCTGAACTGCTGGCCCTGGCCTTGACGCCATCCTGTCAAAAGTCTTTTGCAGCGTGTCTCTCGCTGACTCGTGGGCTAGGAGAAGGTCTTCCAGGTAGGTGTTTCCCTTATCATCCAGCTGTCCGATTTTCGCGTCCGTTGGCCAGTCTGTTCGTGGGTGGAAACCATAGTTGCAATAGAACGGTGACTGTCCAGTTGACGAGTGCTTTGCATTGTTATATGCGTACTCGCAGATCGGTAGTAGGTCCTTCCATTTCTTCCCTGTTCCTGCGGTATAGGCCCGGATGTAGGATTCGAGGTGCTGGTTGGTCTTTTCTGTTTGTCCATCCGTCTGTGGGTGGAACGAGGTCGAGAGTCTCCTACGAATCCCTAGTCGTTCTGTGATCGCAGCCCAGAATGCCGACACGAACTGGGTTCCTCTGTCAGAGACAATGCTCCTAGGAAGTCCGTGAAAGCGCCAAATGTCCTTGACAAAGGCGTTAGCGGTCTGTTCCGCGTTGATTCCCGTCATTGGAATGAAGTGAGCCATTTTCGTAAAACGGTCCACGACCACCAATACGTTACGGAATCCTGATTTCTCCTTTGGCATTTCTACTACGAAATCCATTGAGATATCAGTCCAAGGTGTGGTGGCTAACTCTAGGGGTTGAGGGAGTGACAAGTGTCTCCGACGTTGCTTGGCTCTCTGGCACACGTCGCAAGTCTTGACGAAGTTGGCTACATCCGTGGACATTCCTGGCCACCAGTAGTTCCTATCGATCAACTCAAGGGTTTTATCCCTTCCTAGATGCCCTGCTACGGGTCTGTCATGATGATCCTCGATGACTTGTCTGACCGCGTATCCTGGCACTACCCAACGACCATCGTGGGTGGCCTCATTCGATCCCGGGGTCCACTCAGTGGCAAGCTCCGTTATTACGGCATCAGCTTCCTCTGTCCCGAAGACTTCAAGGTTTGCATCAGGGAGAGGTTCATCCAGGAACACTCTCCGAACCCATTGTCTGTCCTGTTCATACCAGTCTTGTAGTGGCTGAGGCAGCTCAGTACCTGGTATGTCGTACCACTGATCCAACGGAATCCATCCTTCTTCGGGGTTGCCAATGATTTCAGGGCCAGTTTCTACACTGGTCCGTGATTTTCTGACAAATTGTTCTGCGCTGAGCAACTGTTTTACGGGTTGTTCACGCATTACTCCCCCTTCCATAGCGAACTCTGGGCGCCTTGTGAGTGCATCTGGCTTGCCATTCTTTTCGCCTGGTCGGTAATGAATCCTGAAGCGAAAAGGTGCTATCTTTTCGGCCCACCTGGCTTGTCTTCTTGACAACTTCTTGGTCGTTGTGAAGTACTGTAGGTTCTGATGATCCGAATGTATCTGGATAGGAATGTCCGTTCCTTCCAGCCAATGTCTCCAAGTCAAGAGGGCAGAAACTATAGCGAGCATCTCCTTGTCATAGATCTCGTAGTTTACCTCTGCCTCGTTGAACTTGCGAGAGTGGTAAGCTACCGGGTGTAGAATACCGTCCTCGAACACCTGAGAGAGTACCGCGGCCTCTGCCCAGTCACTCGCGTCAGTTTCTATGATCGCTTCACGGTGTTCGTCATAGTGTCGTAGTATTGGGGCAGACGTAAATCTCTCCTTGAGTTCGTCGAAAGCACTTTGCTGTTCACTGCTCCATCGCCATACGGAACCTTTCTTCAGGAGATCGGTCATTGGTCGGCAAACTTCGGAGTACCTGTGGATGAACCGTCGTAGGAAGTTGGCGAATCCGAGGAAACATTGGAGTTCCTTGACCTTAGTGGGTGGTAACCATTCCGTGATTGCCTTCACCTTCTTAGGCGAAACCTGGTTCCCTTTCCCTGATAGTACAAATCCCAAGAATTCTACCTCCTGTTTGTACCATTCCGTTTTCTCGAGGTTCCCGTATAGATGGTTTTGTTGCAGTCGCCCCAATATCTTCCTCACAAGAGTCGTATGCTCTTCCTTAGTCTTTGAATATATTAGAATATCATCCAAGTAGACTACTACGCCTTGATCTAAAAGATCCTTGAATATGGTATTGACCATGACCTGGAACGACGCCGGTGCGTTGGTTAAACCGAAGGGCATTACCCTATATTCAAAGTGGCCGTACTTCGTTCTGAAAGCTGTTTTCCATTCCTCGCCAGCAGCAATCCTAATCAAGTTATAGCCATTTTTCAGGTCGATCTTAGTGAAGAACTCTGCTCCTTTCGTCGAATCGGCCAACTCTGTCATGAGTGGAAGGGGGTAGCGATTCTTGACCGTGATAGCATTTAAGCCACGAAAGTCTACGCATAACCTCAGTTTTCCATTGGCTTTCTTCACGAACAGGATCGGTGCTGCTGCCGGACTGGTGGAGGGGACTATTTTGCCAGAGGCTAGCATTTCGTCCAAGTACTCTCGGAGTGCCTTTTGTTCCACTGGGGAGAGCGCATAGATCGGTCCCCATGGGGGCTGCTTTCCTTCCATAAGGGGAATGGTGTGATCCCATTCAGAGTGATCAGGTAGTCGATCTGCTCCCTCCTTAGAGAAGACGTCGACGAAGTCCTGGTACTCCATCGGTATAGCACTAGCGAGAGTCTCGCCTACCAATGCCCTTGCCCAGAAGGGGTGTTGCTCGATCATCATCTGTGTCTCGGGTGACGACCTCAACAGCCTGATGACTAGCTCTTCTGGGTCTTCTTCGTATATATCATACATGGTCCTGAAGCATCCCTTCACTTGACAATTGATGTTGTCGAAGGTGACCTTGTTCTGTCCCCAATGTATGGTAGGTTGATGCTCCTTGAGCCATCGATGTGGTATGACGAGGTCTTCTCCTGCGAATGAGCCAACCTCACAGACGATGTCTCTGTCTAGATGGTTGCCGACACGGAGGGTAAGAGATTGGGTGATGTAAGTGCCGGAGTTAGGCATAGGGGTACCGTCAGCCTGTCTGATGATGAGGGGCTTGGGTCGAGGTTGAGTTGGGATCTTGAGACGGTGGACACAGTTCCAGGACATAACCCAGTCCTCTGTTCCGCTGTCTAGGAGTGCGTTGACTGTTTCTGCATGTTGGGTACTAGTTGCGGGGTGGTTCCAAGAGATCTCAATCTCAAGGCGGGTTTCTTGATTGTATGAAGACATGTTCGTATGTTTTGAAAGTGTAGGGTAAGGTAGATTGTTCTTGGGTATGAGTGGGTTGATGTTGATAGTTCTTGTTCCGAGCGCGGGGCGAGGGAGTTTATATAGAAAATTCGAGCGTTGATCAAATCATAGTACAACACTTATGCACCAGGCGTTTTCGGAATGTGACCCCGCTTCTCGAAATGTGTGTAGAGAGAATTTAGATTGCGCAAAATAACAAAACCGATAGAACATAACATAACCCGATCCCTTCGAAAAGTCTTCCTTCCAAAACAGAATAGAAAAGCCGTAATACAACATAGAATAAAACACCGCATAAATAGAAATACCCAATCAATTTAGTCCTCCAAATTCGTAATCCTTGCCCTAAATACCTCATTTTGTGGCCCCAACTTTCGTTTCTTATCACCCTCCCTTCCGTGGTCCTTTCTCCCGGAAGGATATTCTTTTCTCTTCAGGTTCGTTAACCTGACCTTGCTCGTCGCCACGCAATCCTTTACGAAGTGGTTATCTCTACCACAACGGAAACACTTTCCTTCCTTTTGCCATTTCTCCTTCTCTTCCTTGGTAACACCTAAGTCATCCGAGGTCTTGGAGTTGTTGGCTGATGCGGGAAAAGTTTTCCGGGGATTTGCGTTGTTGCGCGATTTCCGCCGTTCCGTTTTCTCCTCGCGAGGTTTCACAGTGTCTTTACCTCGCAGGATTTCCTTCCGAGCCTTCACCTCGTGGTCCTTACGTCCAACTTTTCGTACCCAGGCTAACCAGTCCACGAAATCTTCAGGCTCCTCAATCGCGTTAGAGAGCCTCTGTTCCAGCGAGGAGTTTATTCCTGTTAGGATCATGGACCTCATGACAACTGGTCCAACTCGTGCATCCCATTCCAGGTTCTGCATCTCGTTAATGTAGTCGTCGATTGGGCCAGTTTGACGGAGCTTGTCCATCTTCTGCTTAGCCTGTTCCTGACTCGTACGATTGCCATATTGGGTGCGAAGTTCCTGTTTGAACCGTTCCCAGGTTCCGATGCTTCTATCCACAGCCAACCTCTCCGTAAAGTTCCGCCAAAAGTTCGCCGCACTACCGGTAAACTCGAGGGATGCCCACATAATCTTGGTGCCGTCATCCCATTGGACCTTTTTCTGGAGACTGATTAGAATCTCCATCTGGTCGATCCAGAGTCTTACGTCTTGATCGGCTCTTCCAGAGAAGGGAATGTTGGCCTTTTTGGGTGCATCGCCTACGGTGGCGCGAGGGGGGTACGAAAGTTCTTGCTCTCGTTGGCGCCTCCTTTCCTGTCTTCGTTTTTTCCGTTCCAGCCGCTTGCGGCGTTCGCCTTCCGAGTCTGAGGAATCCGATGGGGATGATCCGGGTGCTTCCGGGGCGTTACCTCCCTTATTGCCATTCCCGTTACCTCCCCCTTGTGCTCCTTGACCTCCTTGCTTCCCTTGTTGGCTTTGGTCTTCGAGGCCTTCACTGGATTCGGAGCCAGCTGGAGGGACGACTGGTTGTTGGGGAGGTGGTTGGGGAGGTGGGCCTGATCCGCCGCCACCTGTTTCTGGGGCCAGTGGTTTTTCCGCAGCCGCTTTACGGGCTGTTTCCTTCATCTGCTCCACCATTTCTTCTAAGGCCGTCTTTGTTCCAGAGAACCCATCTACCAAGGAGACCTGCTGCTGCATGGTCCTTTCCAATTGTGCTAGTGTGGCTGCTACGCCTTCTGGGACTTGGGCTGGACCATCTTTCGGCAGTCTTTGAATCCAGTCAGCCAGCATGGTTATGTGCTGGGCCTGCTCTTCCTGCCGCTGTTGATGGGCCCTAGTAGTGGTGACGATCTGCTCCAAGACTTGGCCGAGGTTCGTAGTGGTTGCGGCTGTCTCTGCCCGCACTTGCGCGAGGATATACCCTTCTCGGCGCTCCCGTTCTTCTTGGTCCTGGTTGAACTTCATCTGTAATTCGCGGATGAGTTTGGTCTGTTCTTCGTGCTGCCGGGTAAGCTGCGCCGCGTGCTGCCGAGTAATTTCCCTGATTGCGGGCAGGTCTTGGACGCTCACAGTGAGGTCTCCAAGTCCGCGACTCAGTTGCTGAACCACTGGGGCTCCTCTCCGTTCGATTTCTTGCCCGATGATTTCTCCAAAGGGGTGCTCGATCCGGCGTTCCTCTATGTCCATATCCGTATCCTCGTCTTCGTCCGTTTCCCTGGGGACCGAGGGCCTCGGAATAGAAGATCGTTCCCTGATTGGCGTTTTGTACGGGGAATAATCTCGGTAGTTCCCTTGCCTGCGGGAGCGGGGTTGGCCATAGGATGCGGCCGGCTGAGTCGATCTGAAGAGGTCGCTGATCGGCATGTCCAGATCCCTCCTGTGGCGCTGTCTCGCCTGGGTCTCGACTATACCTCGATCTCTCACGGTGATCGAGCTCTCCATGTTGTAGTCTTCCTCCATTTGTTGCTGATGACCCCTTGACATCGCTAAGTTGCTCGATTCTGAGCTGTGGCTGCCTTCTGCACCAGGGTTGAGCGACGAACCAAGGGACGGAGTGAGCTAATCCGTAGGATTGCTGACGGAGGGTGACTTTGATGGGGAAGAGTTCGGGATAGTTGAGGATCTCCGGGTCGTGTTCTTCGAACGTGCAAGTAGTACCTGCTTCGGCAAAAAACCCGGCGTACTCAAGGTATCCGCAATAGAGGTGTTCAGCACTGCCTCTGCGAACGACAAAAGAGGTGGTGCAAGTAAAGTTGTTGATAGCTGTTGTCGCTACTCGGGGATGCATACGGTATCAAAGAGTCCTTCTAATAGACTACTTTCTTATTCTTTTACTTGAGCGCACGGTGACTATCCGCCACAAACAAAATACTCTCAAGTATTGGTCTAAGCAAGTAGTTGTCTTATCGGGACGTTGATAATATGCGATCGATAAAATAATAGCGTAGTGGATAAGGTACAATATAGTGTTTGGGGAAATGCCAATGCTAAGCGATAGTTCTGTAGCTTTTAAACTTGTAATATTGTAAACCGGATTCCGCTCGCTGAGTGACTGATGATGCCACTAAGACGAGGCAGAACCCTCCCTATTTATACATATTGGAACCTATGCCAAGGCCCGCTTTCTAATACTAAAGAGATAACGATAATAGAATAAGATAATCAACCCGAAGATAACCCCAGTAGAAAAGCGCCCCCGCATAGTTCCGTTCCTCCATTCTAATTCCGACACGTAACCATAAACCCCGCAATTGCCAGTAACCGAGCTGTATCATGTTATTGTCCTAGAGCTACTTCCCTAAGTAGAATGGCCTGCAGCCATATGCCCCGCTTCTATTCCGTTCCGGGTGAGACACCCAATAGTAAGCGTGCCCTCACAACAGCCTAATACTAGTGTGGTTGCACCCGGTGCCCCCACACCCCTCGGTACCTTTCTATGCTTGTTCCTTCGTTACCCGACCGTACTCGCATCACAACCCATCACTCATATTATCCCTGTTCCTTGACTTAGGAGCAGTGTTCGTGTTTCCTATAACATATATAATTATAATGTCTCGTCTGTTTTTTTCCCCTCTCCAATCTCGCGTGCGGGTGTGTAGTAGTGATCAATTGCCAATGCAAACGTAGAGTAGAGTAGAGTAGAGTAGAGTAGAGTAGAGTAATTGACCGCAACAATAACTACCGTAGAGTAGTAACCAAAGAAAGAGGGAATACTGGTTCCTCTGCATAAGCTTTCAACGCTGTAGAGTTTATGCCCTACCGACCGAGCCTTGCGTGTGGCCTTAGCGAGGGCTGTAGATATCTCTCTAGCTACATGGAGATACGGGACGAACTTAATGTTAGCGACAACCCAAGTGCAAAAAATAGCACTCGTACCGTAATAATCTCTGAAGGTTCTCCAAACAAGCCTCTACAACTTAATCTCCTTTCGCCCCCGGATACAGTACCGTCGTCAATGGGGCGCACAGACGGTATCATATCGGTCAACGATCCCACTCCCTCGTGACGTTCATCCGGAAATGCAGGGCCAGGTCCAACCCTGAAGAGGAACATGAAGATATTTCGGGGCAGCTAGTACTACCAGCTATCCCGAAACGGGCACAAATATAAAGGTACAGCCCTCTTTGTCATCACACAACTGCCTTACGATGTCTCAATCATGTCCGCGCTAGCCACTCTGGGGTGGTTACTGTTGGTAAAGCGAGCCTCAGGATGTAAGTACACTCTGAAAGTAGAGTAGGCCGGAACATGGCATGGAGATGTAGAGATGCGGCGCGATAGACCCTTGAGCATCTTCTGCATTGATATACGGAGCCTCCTCCGTGGCGGCTCTTTTGAGAGAGAGCTTGATCACCACTCTCCCCCTCCCCCCGCCGTACCACACGCACGTTGTTGTCGCATTCCTCCGTGAAACACACGATGCTATGGTGCCTCTTTCATTAGGCTGTGCCGGATCGGTCCGCAATAAATCATCAGGGTAGCCAGAATCTAGTTTGAGGGTGCTACATATATCCACCGGTACCGGTTCGGCGTAGCGAGAGAGAATGAATGAAGCTAGAGTAGGAAAGTAGGTTCGAAAGAAAATAAGGCAATTTCCATTATCGACCTGATTAGGGATCAAAAGCGAAAAACTGCCGTCAAGAAAAGAGTTATGGGCGAGGAAAAGAATGCTGGCACGATCTATTTGTGCAGGAGTTTTTTAATTGCATTCCATTCCTGACACTGTAGACTAGAGTGCTGCCCAACTGATTGTTCCCCCCCAGCAAGCAGCTCAAGCTTGACTATCGTGGAAATGTTTCCCCCCCATACGAGTTCGAGGTCTCATGCACGCAATAAATGCGAGGATAGGGCTGCTGTAAAGGTTAGCTTGCTCTCTTGGGAACTTCCCTTTGAGTTTGAATATATGATATCTGTGGGCGATCAATTCCATTGAGATTCAAGCACGCAGGGTACTCTAACTCGCTTCGCCTAGTGGAGTGGTATGTGTAGGGTAGCTCTGATGAAAGAGGACCCTTCCTCCCTCTCCCCCTCCCCCTCGGGGGTTCCGGGAGGGGCAGAAACAATTCACTTCTCTTTTTTTCCCCGCCCTTTCGGCAAAGGGCCACCATGGATCGAGTGTGCTTACACTTCCGATTTGGGTTGAAGGGTGATATCTTTATTTTGACAGGGGATGTTTCCCGCTACATAAGGCTGATAGCCCGAGTGTGGTGGTAGCGGTGGTTGCGGTGATGCTGGTTGGCTGGCGCATGGTTGGTCAATTGGTTACTCCAACCAAACTGCTGTGCCCTATGCAATGCTGCTGTTGCTGGATAAATCGGAGAACAGTCATTCCTCAGGACCGGCAAGGATGGTGCTCGCCGTGACAATGGGTTCTCTTGCGTAAAGCAGTGAGTGTGGTGTGTGTAGGTGCATTAACTAGATTGTTTGCGCCGCAATCGAGATCGCTTGCAATGACGTCGGGATTGGAGGGCTCTTCTGGATCTCTGGCGCCTGTGGGATGGAGGATCGAATTCGAGATACACACGGTACACGGGGAAATACAGCGTGGTCAAACAGAAACCATCGTGGCCACGCAGACGTATCAAAGTCTAATGGTGAGTTGAGTAGACAGACATTGAGCAGCACAGAATCAACAACACAGAGTGACATACGAGCGAGGGAGCCCAATTCTACCAGGAGAGAAGATAGGTACACAAAGAACAGCTTTCCAAAGTCAATATCGCGTTCCCGTTCCATGTGCCACATTCACTTCTTGCGTTTCCCTAATGCTTGCGATGAACTGTTTCTCCGCCGGTTCCTCGTGCTACACCATTTGAGCCGCCGTGGATCATTAACGAGCCCCTCCAACCCCCCAATCCCCTGACTCTAGACCGTACCTACATAATAGGAAGTAGGTACTCTATTGCAAGGCATTTTTCGGACCCTCGTTTGATATTTCCTAAAATGATAGGGCATACAACTAATCGACAATGCAAATGCAACCGGCAACTCTCTCCACCTCTTTGTAGCAGTAGTATTTGTGGTGATGGTGCTTGTGGTTGCAACGTTGTGGTTGTGGTTGTGGTTGTGGAAAGTGTTGCCCAGGCGATGCATGCTTGACATGGGGGAGGCGCACTCGCTCTCGCTCAAAGTTGCCTGGTGGCTGTTACTATTCTTATCGCTGCTAGTACTCGTGCGAGTCGTAGCAGCAACGCCAGACCATCGCTTGATCGGATCCAAATTCATCCAATGCTTAACCCAAACCAAATTCGGGTCTAAGTAAAGAAAGGACCCTACCTAACCTAACCTACATACAGACACATAACCTAAAAATTATTTACGGAGGGGCGGCCATGCTGGAGAAACTTTTTTTTTCTACACTTGGGCATATAACTGCTTCTCGTGTGCAATTCTGTTCGAATCTGCCCTACGACTAGATGCAGATGTAGAAATTTAAAATAGGTAAAACCAATTGTTTATTTCGGGAGCGCTTTCCCCTAACGATTGCCATGATGAATGTGATGGACATCACCATCACGGAGTTAAGAGCCGTAGGGCAAAGGTGGGTTCATGAATTCTGCGCTCAATTAATCGCGCGTAAAGGAAATGTGTTTATCCAGCTCCTGCTATTAGCTGAATTCAACTTAAGTCCGTATCGGAAAGGCTACTAGGGGTGTAAACTACCTACCAGGTAGTTACAGAGATAATCCGATCGCCTTCTCCATGAATAATCAGGGCCCATCGTCATCCAAGCGCGACTCACGCTTTGTGAATTATAGGGCAGATGTGCAAGTCCCTTTTCGAGTTATGTAACGGCCGTGCACGGTCATTATAGTACCAACTGTCAATAATAATGCAAGTGAGGGAGTACTCTATGTAAGATACCCAAGCACTTACTGTATGTAGAGTAGGCCTGTCGAGCAACATCAGATACTCTGGCCGGCGGCCCTACGTGCGTGTGGCTGTAAAAGCCTCCTACGTTTACTATTTTCCTCCTCATCCAAGGTCAAACAATCCCTACATAACATAACGTACATGGCAGCCGTTTAACTCCGCCAGGCTCCAGAAATGGGATGCCACCCCCGCCTGGCCTTACGGCGACTAGTTCCAGTGGCCTGCAGCGAAATAAACACAGCAGCCTCAGCCAATGGAAGGCGCCCCACCACCCCCCCCAACCAAGGTCTAAAAATGAATTAAAAAACAATGGATGTAAGGTGCTTGGTCAGGAGCAGGAGCAAGGGTTGGCCAGTCGATGCCCAAATGTGGCGACGTGCATGGCTGTGTCACCACCCCGGTGCTTTGGCAAAATTGAGGAATTCCTATCCGCAAAGAATGTTCTGTGCTTGTTCTATCGGGAGAGTAAGGCTGGACTGCAGAAGGGGAGAGCGAGAGGTGTGGATTGGATTGGATGGGGGGTGTGAGTGGATGGGGTGTGTGGAGGGGTGTGCTACATACTTGCTAGACTAGGTGTGGTAAATCGCAATCGTGAGTACTTAAGTTGTGGCCTTCTCACATTCTGGTCTGGCTATATCTCATTATTCCTCCCGTCCAAGCTTTACTACTACTACAACTAGCAGCATAGCATCTACTCATCCCCTCAGCATCATCCCATATCACTCAGAGTCGCCCCCGAGAGATATATAAGTCAAAGGAATAAGGACGCCAACATTTAACTCGAATCTCACATAAGTTTCTTCAATAGACAATAGTCGGGAAACAACTTCTACAGATCTCATCATCACGCCTTTCTACAACAGCATCTCAGAATCCCATATTTCACCACCCACTATGAACCATCAAGCCCACCACTATACGTACTCCACTCCCATAATGTCCTCGATGGCACCAGTCGACACAAGTCAGTACCCCACCGCCGCCAGACAGACCTCAAGAGTATCATCCAGCTCAACGACCGAGTTCAGAGGAAGCACAAACCCGGATGAGGACTGGACAAAGATCTCAGATCTTGCTGAGCGCAGACGGATACAGAACCGCATTGCTCAGCGCAACTACCGCAAGAAGTTGAAGCGCCGTCTCGAAGACCTTGAGCGCAGAGCTGCTTCTCGCTCCCTCTCGCCCAACGGTGAAGACACAGATGGCCGCTCAACCCGCGAGTCCTCAGCTGAGCAGGCGCTGGTGTCGTCTCCTCCACTTACAGGTCTTATGGACAACAGCGAGCACGATCACAGAGGCGTCTACCTTCCGCCCTTGAGCTCGTATACTACCTCTTCCTCCTCCGCATACCCAACTCAGTACAGGAGTGCCGCCAGCAGCAACAATTCAAATTCGTACTCATCTTCGTCGCCGGTGCCTTACTACCCTTCTGCAGCTGGCATGTCGAGTGAATCATCACTGGACTACCACTCATCAAATAGCCAGTACATCTACTCTTCATACTCATCACCCCCTGCGATGTCCTCGGTCGTGGATTCAACTTGCAACGCGGATCAGTCATATCTTCCGTTGCCGTCGACAAAGATCCCGTCCACCTACCTCAGCGACTACATGACTCCCAAGTCAAGCTCAATGTGCTTTGACGAGACGACCATGAGCCCGTTTTCGCTCAGTTACGCGGGTCTTGCTGGTAAGCATCATATCTCCGGTTTTCGATTGCTCATGAATTTTAGCTAACAAATGTTTCAGAATCTCCAGATCCATCATTCTTCTCTACCCAGTACTACTACGATGACCACTCAAGTCCTGCGCACTCACATGCCTCAAATTCGCCGCCGCTCATGATCAAGCAGGAGCATTTGTAACCATATCATTAGCATCATCGCCATTTCTTTTGTCATGTTTTACTACTACTCAACTTTATCTATAGAATATTTCCTTATCAAGGGGGTGTCGGTGTTTTTCCTTAATTTTTATTGTTTTATGGTGTTTTGTCTTTCTTTGATTACGCAGCGCTATACAGGACGGGGAGTACGAATTCTTTTTGTTTCATCTTTCTTTTTTGTTTCCTTGTGGGTCGGTTGGGTTTGGGGCACTAGTGGGGGGGATTTGGGGGGGTGGGGGTAGCATTAGAGAGATGGGATACTGTATACCAGCTCGAACGAAGGATGATCGACATGTATGAATGGCGGTAGACTACGACTTTACAGCGATGGGAGTTGTGTGCTTTTATTTTTATTTACTGGAGTATTTTTTGGGGATCTTTTTATCATTCTCTACCTCATCTCTTTTTTTTGTATCATGATGGTTAATTTCTTTTTTTATGCTTCCTTTATGGTTTCTTCGTCTTCTGTCTTTTTTTTCGGACGCGCGGGGGAGGGGGATGCTGGAAGCTACATTGTAGCTATCCATGTACTCAACTTAGCTCGGAGCTAGCTAGGCAGGCGGGCATGTACGGTAGAAGCAGATCAGATCAGTACCCACAATATTTCAGGTGTGGAGAAAATGCGAAAACCTTTTTACAAAGAAGGGAAATTTGAAAGCTATATTTGGAAAACAAAAAACAAAAATTTCGTTGCCTTGGGCCTATTGTGGGGAGGGGGGTGATGGATGTGGATGTGCAAGTGTTGTGATATGTTCCGTTTCCCCCTCCCCAGTGTAACTGTGTGATACCTGGTTCAGTGGTACAGAGAGCTGGTTAGTTAAAGCAACTGGTGGGAACGGCCGGTCCCGATACGTACGATACGATACGATGGCACGGGGAGGTGGGTTTTCGTTTCATCCCTTATTTATTTTTTTATATTATTTTTTCGATGGACAAATATGGGATTTGGGGATACGTATATCATTTCTTTTCTTTTTTGAACTAATTGGGTTTATTTCATTTTTTCTTTGGTGGAAGTGGATATCCGGATGTCGTCGGATCACACATGGGCCCGGCTGGGATATCGATACCATCCCATATGCTCTTTATGCTCGCTTGTTATGATAATTGGGCATTTGATATGATATCGATATACCCTCCCACCCCCATATGGGCAACTGGCGGGTTTGATCTTTTGATCACAGATGCCAAACCCCAGATTTCATGGAACCATATAGTTGTAGCGGAAACATTGCCCCGTTTTGGATTTCAATATATATACACACCCCAACCAGGCTAAATATCCAAATATGTATGTAGATAGAGCCTCCTTGTCGACCTCCACGTTATCCATATAGTAGAGTGAAGTAACGTTTTTCCGGATCACCCGCCATAGGCACAGATATGTGGAGAGAGAGATCTGGAATATCGAATAGAGTATAACTAATCGGGCGGAGAAACCATGAGCTCATGAGATTAGGATCACCAGAGGCTCTCCACATACGAGACTGAAAGTAGCTAGCAGGTAGATACGTACGTTATACTGATTCAGACATGATGTGTGTATATTTGGAATTGAATCTCGTGGAAGGGGGCTGCTCGGTTCCACAGAATTACCTTGAGTTGTGCTTCGGAGTCCAGCAGAGAACATATGTATAGCCTGCCCTGCACTTTCCCTCTCTTCTTTAACAGATCTGCAGCAGAGCTCAGTGCGCATGGTGTAGGTAGCCCTAGGCATCATGTTAATTAGGTACACACATGTATGTCGAGTAGCACCACAACCACGATCCTCCCCTCGAGCTCCATCCCATCCCAGCAGCACAAACGAACCACCTGGCCTATCCCCCTGGATCCCCAGAGTAAGTAATGAAAAAAGAGATCACTTCATCACTTAAATTTCTCAGCCCTATCGGGGAGCCGCAACGAACCCAGTACATACATACATACCTACGTGATGTAGGTACTCTACTCTTTTCAGAACAGTAAAGTGATTGAGGCTTAGACATCCCCCTCGATACTCTCCTACCTGCATACATCCATATATACGTAACCACCCAATTCGTCGCTGGCTGCAGAACGCAATGCAGGATGGGTTCGTTTCGTTACTCAAATCAGAGTCGCGTGTTGGGTTTACACCAATCGCCGGGCACCATCCACGTGCACCCAATCATTGCGGCTGTTGGGGGGGGTGTGAGTGGTAATGACTCATAGGGGAGCTTGCAAATGGGGTGTGCATGTATGTAGGCCCTTCGTATATACCGTATTCACTGGACCCTCCCCATGTCTACATACTGACAAACACACATCCGAGAATACCGGCCTCTGACTTCTAGCTAGCTCCAACTAGAATAGAGTACGCACGCACACACGACCGATACGACCGAGTTTGCGAAGGATCTATGTAGTTATTTGCACTACATAACCAGTCTACCGAGATGATTACAAGTTACTCAAGAAGGGGAATTTTTTCCATCCGAGATCCAACAGCAATTTGTCAAACGTTGCTGTTGCCGAGGATCCGCCAGACAGGACAGGCCCAACGGGATGGATTTCAATCAACGACACTCTAAGAGGATTAGATGTTGATATTTATGCGTCCTTCCCGGCTTTTTGGCATTTACGGTTTGTTTGTGCACATCCATCCCCCTCCGCTCCCTCCCTCCGTAACGATGTATGTACCTACATAACATAGCTGAGAGTGAGTTAGTGCAGAATCAATCGAAGTGTACAGAACCCACTTTCGACTGCCAGCCCGTACATACCTACACACACATACTCCCATTGCAATTACCTATCTATGATGTTGCTGCCGAGGGATTAATTAAGGCTACAAGAACAAAGTTTGTTTCGTTGATGTGGCCGCCTAACATCGATCATAACATCAAGTACGGGTTTGTTTGAGCTTCTGAGCCAGATGCGCACATCCAGCGTGCGAGAAAGAAAAAAAAAAAAAAAAAGGGTGCCACATATCCGAGTCCCTGGCACATGCTCGGATCTACAGCTGATGTTTTATCTATGGCGCACGAAATGTGGGGATGGGATGCGTGTGTCGCAGATACCGTGCGCGGTTGATTGGTCGTGGCCGATATGGTGCAATATCAATTTCAAGTCACGGGAATTGCATCCAAGGCCAGTGCTTGTGCTGTATCAATTATCGACTCCCACATATATACCACCACAAACGGCTATCGCCATAACCTACCCATTCCCCGTGCACACCATATCTGTTGCACATGCCCTCGCGTTACTGATTACTCTACTGGGTGTCCCGGCGAATAATCATCCCGACCAAATCCCAGATAATTGGTGTACAGAGAAGGCGATTTTCGCTGGGAAATTTCGATTCCCCCAGACCTGGACATCGGATCCGATTTTTGATCTACGCGCGGTTTTAATAATTCACGATATTAATATGCCTGTAGTTATGCATTATACATATGTTAACATAGTTCATACGTACGTGTGTGCCCTACATAGGAAGCCTTGGAATCCTGTTACAGAGATGATATGGATCAACAGGGCTTGTGTAGGTATCGGGCAAGCTCCGATTTTGGTTCGACTCATAAACCGAGTGACTTGTAGTGATTCAGGAGGTCAGGTTCTTAATTGGAGATGTGCGTTGGTAAGATCCATATGGACAGAGAACCTAATTTGTGAAACACCCCAAGTGGTATGTGAAACCAATTTGTTCATAATATTGCCTTGTATGTTAGTTTCGGGGACTCCCAGCTTCTACACTTTTGTAATGCATGCTTAGTGGTGAATGTTTGGCAGAAAACGTACTGCTATATGTTGCTTTTTCATTCTTCACCTAGTCAATAGAGCAATGGCAATACCCATCGATATCGCAAGTCAATTTATCTTATCACAGTGGGACATTGGTGCCCGACCCCATAACAGACTTTGGAACCTGGAACATTCGAGGGGTTCAGTATCCTCCTCTTAGTTCGATCGAGTCTCAATTACCATGAATATTAAGGATATTAGATATGCCGAATAGCATCCCACACACGCCTGTTTCTCCTCGCTAATTAAAACATACTGATCCAACCCCACAATCGTCTTCCTTGGCTGCAGATTCCAGTGGCCTGATAAGGCAGGATTTAACACCAGTCGAGAGCGGCGCAGCACAGGAAGGTTAATGGAAGTCGTTACCAATGAGTTACGTGATCAGGTGGCAAATATGTATAAGGTTCCACCACTCCTTAGGGGACCATGCACGAATACCCGGTAAACGATAGGTGCATATAAATAGTAAAACAGGGGCAGATTTCTGGTGGGCTATTTCGAGTGATAATGAATGACCGACATGACCGGCCCAAAATTGACTTGGGCTGCCATAAAAGAGTTGTCTCTCAAAAAGTTGCAATGTTTATGCTAAAGTTTCTATCGTGGCATTTTTGCGGGTAAGCATGATTCTGGTGAACCTCTCCGAGTGATATCATGTGATCGAATAGGATCACCCACAGCAGTACGTTCTTTAATTTGAATAATCCGTCCTAAGAACAACCTGTCCCAGTAACACCATTTGTAAGAGTATGATTAATATTGTTGCATGTGTCAATCATGGGAGATCGCAGGCTAATTGCTACCAACGATCTACCACAATGTTTTATGGAAAGAGTGCCTCTAGACATATGCATGCTCCTACTCGGGGCAGGCAATAAGAACCTGAAAATGCAAGCTGCAAGTAGGGGCTCAATTTGGTGTAGCTTTTCGCCAGCCGCGAATCAGAGGTCGTTACCATAAAAAGTAATCTTCAGGTTCTTCTTGCCTGCCCCGAGTACCCACTTCAGTAATTAGTACGCTCCTAGTCGAGTAGATAACCCAATAGAATTCAAATCCATAGTTCGGGGGCGCAGAGGTGAGTTGACCGGTAAATTCTTTAAACCATATAATCCTTGTACGCGTATACGTAGGAAATGCTATGCACACGGCATAGACATTGTAACGGCCGGTAATATATAAACCACACGTGGTTAACTAATCTCGGCAGTATCT